TGCGGGTGTGGGAACGTATCTACAATGTCCAAACTGGGATGGGCTAAGAAAGGAAATGGTCCGAAAATGGAAGGTGGGCGTCAAGGGGAGGGGAATGGGCGGCAAAAAGGGGCGTCTGTCCAACGTCCGTGACAGAGAGCGAGTCACGCTGGTCACCCCGAGTAACCCGAGGTCACAATGCCCTCTGCCGAGCCCGAAACACACCAGACGTTCTGAAGCCTCTCTCCCCCGGCGCTCATTTCCCCCCTCCAGATCTTTTCACGATTCGTTCCATCAATTTTGCCTTCCTGTTTTGGTCTACTCCTTCCTGAGGCTTGCGGAGCGCAGCGACGCATCGAGTGCCGGGGCAGAGAGGCCTGAAGAACGTCTGGAGCCGAGACTAGCCTCTTCTACGCGACAACATTGTTTCAACCTAATTTATGCGACGCTTGCTCCAGACTCCGATGTTTGGGTAGGCACTCACTTGACTTTCTCCGGCAGCTCCGCTTCCGTTCATCTTCAGTCATAAAACAGGCGTCGATGTGTACTGATTGGGGTGACCCGTCGCTGTGTCGGTCATGGTGCATGGCCTTTGATTCGGAGTCTTTCATCCTATGACCTCGACGGACAAGCATGTCGATAGCGACACTAGTCCGGCGCCTTCGTGACAATGCTGCCCCCGCGCAGCGATCCCGTCGGGCAGGGTCCTACCGTCCATCACTAGCGACGATCGGCAACGTCAGATATATGAGTCCTTCCCCGCGCTCGTCTGGCCGTTGTTCGACCCCTCCTACCTGTACCCTTCTCGACTAATTCTATCCCATTCTCTCTAGTATGACTCACGTGCAAGGGCATATCGTGCTGTTGGGGAATGGATCATGGCGTAAGTACTTACCTCGGTTTCGTGATCATGGACTGGCGCGGTGGCTTACTAGGCTATCGGACTACAGCGGATACGAAGCAGCTTTGTATATTCGCGACCAGGATTGTCAACCTTCGATCAACACACATTACAATTTTTACCACAGAAGATCTATTTGAACGCGCGCGACGCGAAGTTACCAGCGAGATGCAGGACTCGCTGAGTATGGACCTGATTAGGTGAGTTCAAGATACAGCGGCCCCTGTACCATTTCCTTGAACACGCGCAAGAACGGTTCACTCATTATGTCTGTAGGATTGTTGGGCTCCCATCTGGGCGCTGCGACAACCTCACCGACGCCACCTTCAACGTCGCATTTACAGAAATCTATGAAAAGCTGATGGGTTCCCGGAACTTCCAATGCACTGCGACTGGCCGGAACTACGGGCCGCTCCCTTTGCCACGGGCTGTCGTATCCCCCGTAAGTCCTCCATAGTCATGTCACATGTGGACCTTTCGACTAAGCCCGAGTCGTGGTCATCCTCACACTATCCCGTACCGTTAGAACTTCACTATGGAGCTTATGACGGCCCTAAGGAAGCGCTCACATCAATCTGTAAAGCTCCTCGCCTGGTATTCTCGTGCGCCTTCCACGTTATTTTTCTTCCATGGCCCAGCGGAGAGGGGCGGTGTCAAAGAGCTATGCGCTAGAGTGCAGGAGGAAGCGGCGCGGACTCAGACACCAGAAGTGAAGATCATCGAGAAGGTATGTCTGGGATACTCGTGGTTGTCCTACCTGTACTCACTGAACATCGTTCTTCTGATTCACAGACTGTTCATTTCCTGCACAATCATCTCATCCGGGTACCTGGGTACGAGCCTATCTATAGTCACGAGATCCAGCCCCAAGAGGTGCGCCTCTGTAACGCAACGACCTTCTGTATAACGCTCACCGAGTTCTAGCTGGCAACTCGAGGCAGTATTGGAACAGAGTGGCTTACAATACACGAGTCGGTCTCTTCGTTCTTGTACTCGGCGTCATCGTCTAACTACATCTCGCAGCATGTTGATGGCATGTGACGGTGTCTTGATATCCACACCGGAAAGCTGGGATGCGCTCTCCATAATCGGAGCTCGTTACTGGATGAAGGAGACGTCGCGGAATGTGTACGCCATAGGTCCTATGCTCGCGAGAAGCCCACAGGCCGCCGAGAACGAGGTTGCAATCGCACATCAGGGCGCGGCGACTCGCACGTTTCTAGACAGGATCTTGAAGACACACGGCGAGAGGTCTTTGTTATACGTTCGTCCCTTTCGCCGTGTATGTAGGTCGCGTCTCTGACTTCCACTCGGTGCAGATTTCATTCGGATGTGCCATGTGGCCCAAGCATCCGGAAAAGCTGTGGACATTCTTGGACGCCGTCATGGAACTCCAAATTCCCTTCGTCAGTCCTTGTGGTCGCCGTCCTACTTGTAGACCTGGCTAAGGCGCCTTATTAGATCCTCAGTCACGCATCCAACGACGCTACAATCCCCCAGGAAATCAAGGACAAGGTCGATTGTTACGGATTGGGACTCTTGTCGCCTTTCTGCCCCCAGCAGATGATTCTCAATCATCAAGTGAGCCTCCCTGCCTCTTCCGGACACTTCCGTTGGTTGTTGACTCGTTCTCACAAGGCTACTGGATGGTTCGTAACACAATGCGGACAAGGGAGTGTGCTGGAAGCGGTCAACGCAGGGGTGCCGATGTACGCATCAAGACTAGTATAAGTTCGCCGAGCTGATCGTCTCACTTTCCACAGGATCTGCTGGCCATATGTTGGCGACGAGGCATTGAATGCGATTTACATCGTCGATACGCTGAAGATCGGTTACGAGCTCCTCCAGATTCGCACCGGCCACGGCCTGAAGCGGATCTATCGCACAGGCGTGCGTCCTGAAGGGACTCCGGAGGCGATCCGCGCGGAAACTATGGTCGTCCTGCGAAGGGCTTTCGGGCAAGACGGCGCGAAGCTCAGAGGGAATGTCGAATGTCTTAGACAGAAGCTGAAGGATATGTGGGAGCAGGGTGGGGAGTCGCAGCAGGCAGCGCTTGCTTTTGTCGGCAGCCTCGGATTGTGATGCCCCGCTGGACATACGTATTGTGACTGCCGAGGGCTTACGGTAGCGTACAGCGGTATATTTTGTCTTGTACACGGTGATACGGGAATAATTACAGCGAAAATGGACCAAGTACGTGTCGTTCAATGAGAGCGAATGAATCTATCGAATCTGAAAACTATACCCTGATCCTGCAAACACGTACAGATATTCCCAACACACAAAGTAGTCCAGATTAACCCAAAGCCGTTGTCATGTTTCGAGCGTCGAATAGGGTGGAGAAACGGAAGGTCAAAGAAAGGCCCACAACCGTAGCTGTAGCTATCCAGGCAAGGTACGGTAGGGTACGCTGGATCCATTCCTTTGGAAGACTCTTGCTCACGGCGGCCAGAATAGCGGAGGACGTAGCATCGACACGCGATGAACTGCTCGGTCCCGGTGGCGGGAGAGGGACGGGACTGGCAGGATCGGGAGGAGTGGCAGGATCAGGAGAAGTGGCAGGAATGGGAGGAGTGGCAGGAGCGACCGGAGTTGTAAATCCGGCAGGAGCGGCAGGAGCTACAGCAGTGGTAGACATTGAAGGAGCGGCAAGGGGACGTGTATCGGCTGCGATACTCGTAGGTGCGGGGGAGGCGACAGGGATAGGTGCCGTAGAACTTGGCCGAGGAGGCGCGTCAGCTTCGGAATTGTGCCGGAGGATCTCGATGCTGAGGATGTAAGCCTCGAGACGGTTGCGGCGATCCTCTGAGAAGTCGCGAGCGAGGGTGAGGCGGAGGGTGTGGATTACAGGAGTAGAAGGCTCCACTGCAGTTCCCGTCTTGGCGACGGTGAACTATGCATCTGTCCACGCGCTCCCAGCACGAAAGCGCTTCCAGGCCCGGACATGTCCCTTGTGTTCGGGCGCATGAGAGTCCGCCCTTCCGAATTCAAGAGGGAACTCCGTCTTCTCGTGGCCGATGAACAGGGTCACCGCCACTCCCATGAGAGACATTCTCGTGGGACTTCCGTACGAGCAGCCGCAACGCCCCACGCTGAGGACGATCTCGTGACTTTGCCACTTCTCCGATGTACTTGTGATGGTAATCCTGTCTTCAGCTTTCTCTACACCGCTGATAGCACGATTCCGAGACGACGGAGTGATATCCGGATCGTCGCCCCTGCGGGGCAGGGCGATGATGTACCCCGCCCGCTCCAGCGCCTGTCGAGACCACTTCGATAGACGGACCTCGAAGAATTGTGACACTTCCTTCAGGGACTTGTGTATGATTTCGTCGCGTTGCAATGCAACCTCGAGCCCGGTATGGCGATGGGGGATGTACAACGTGAACGTCGAACGGAGGATGTCAGTGCGCAAGGACTCGACTTGCCGACGTTCGAGGTATACGGAACGGCAGTAGGACAAATCCCAGTCCAACGTGGTGCCTGTCATCTCGGGGTTCGAAATGTTAGCACCCACACAGAAGTCCCTGATACTCGCCGTAGACTGATGTCCTGAGGCTTGCGATCGAAGGAGAAGGGCCAATATACGGTCGTATAGGTCCTGACAAGCGAGTATCGCGATATGTGTCGGCGGTCGAACGAGGAGAGGGTCAAGACCGATGATAGCGGCATGAGGCACCACCATCTGAATACCATACGGAGTCGCCGTGAAGACCTGATGGCCCTGCTGCAAAGCGGCCGGACCCACAACGACTTCGAACTGTTCTCGGGACATAGGGCTGAGGGAGTCGCCGGACTGAGTGAATTGGGTACGGGAGTTCGTGAAGGCTTTGGGAGACGAAGCGAGGAGATACTGCATGGGGGTAAAAGGAGCAGAGTTTTCGGTGGAGCTCTTGGGCAAGGAAGCGCCGTTCTGTGCAGCAGCGAACGAGATCTGGCCAGGGGTGTGCCAAACAGGACCCCAAGCGAAGAGAGTCTGGTCGGAGCTCTGCCTGAGGATTTCCTCCTGTAGCCGGATGAACGCGTTGCTTCCCTCGCCATAAGCGATCGTGATGTTGACTTGGAAAAGACCCATCAGACAGTACGCTCCGTCCTCTTCCCGAGTAGTCTCTCTCTCCGACGCCCACATCATTCGCTCCGCGACGCTGAACTGCGGTGGGAGGCGCTCGAAGGTGAGGATATCGCGATGGATAGAAGTGATTTCCTCAATGAGAGGCGCGAGGCTGTGCTTCGAGCCTATGACCTCCCAGTCTTCGTCGAGGAAGAGGACGATGTTGGGCGCGATGAGTTCCTGTAGGGTCCATCCGCGTTTGAACCACTGGCACTCCTTGATCCGCTCGGGGTGATAACCGCGAATGTCACGGCCAAGATAGGCGTAGCAGATGGTCGAGTAGCGGTACCAGGTATACATGACATTGATGGCTTCAGCAAGTTCGGTGGAGCTGCTCTTATCGATACAGCAGAAGTCCAGCCAGCACAGGTCGAAACCGTCCCTCAGGGCAACTTCGCAGAACTTCTGGATCTTCCTGTGAAACATGGGAAGGATGGAGGAGTCCTTGTCGGGGAGTGTGCTCTGCGCGATGCGGAGAACCTCCTCGTAGGACTGCTCAGGTACTTCCCCTGGAGGGGGCGGATTCTTGATCCAGACGTGCGAAAGGATGGCGAAGGGCGTTTCTTTCGGATCATCGACCCAGCAGAACCGTCCCGTCCGCGTGTGCAGGAAGCGCATGATATTCTGGTGAATTATCGTTCATCAGCGCTGTTAGTGCTGCAGTGAACAATCACGTACCTTCAAAGTCTCCTGAATGGCACAAGTAATACTGTCCCACAGGACGATTAGACGTCTAAGGGCAGAACGTTCAGATGGTGGTGACGTGAATCACAATTCAGGAGTGCACACCTTTGCGGAGAGAAACTAAAGCTTTGGTTGGTATTGAGGCCTCAGATGGTGTCTTTTATATATGCGCGAGAGCCAGAGGCCAAGCTGCGAGCTTTTGTTTGCGCGCATGTTTGTTATCAGCAGTGGTATACAGGGCCTCGAGGTGAGTGGGTGGAACACTCACGATTGTACAGGCCGCCACCAGGTAGTCGTGCATGTCCCCGCGACTTGCTCCTCTGTTCTCCTCTTCGGGTGTCGTAGACGGGGGCCCACCCTGCTGGTGGGTCTTGAAGGCACGTCAATGACTGAACACGCTTCGTTTTTCGGCGCATATATGTTCCGCACGGATTACGGCGGTATGTAAGAAGGTTGTGCGCCATTGATTGCATAGGCGGCCTATACCAGAGCCAAAGATCGTGCGGAAATGGGCTTCCGGTAGTCACATCGCCGTCTTCTCAGCAGCGGAGCTCCGATGATACAGGGGGCATTAATGACAGCCATCCGTTGGTTCGGAGTGTCCTGGATAGCCGTCTTCTTGCAAGTCACAGAGAGAGAAGGGTCCTTGGAATGCTGCACATGGGCCCCGTCAGCGTGGCTGATTGGAACGAGCGAACGAGTGGGACCCTAGATGCCTTTGATAAGCCACTTTCGTGAGGTAAACGGCCCGATTGCGAGTTGGTGGATCCTACTTGTGGGAGAATACGCCCTGGACCGCTTCGAATGCATTGCACACATGAGTAACCCTGATGCTCGTAATCAATGCCGGAGGGAAAGCTCACATTCAGTCCAGATCGATACCACTGGCGGTGTTGTCGTTGGAGGTAGGCAGTCAGAGGAGAACCGCTATCTGGAGATTGCCGCTCCTCGTGTCGAATCTTGTTTGACAGCTCACTGGTGGACACGGGACGACCCAGAGCCCTGATCGAGCCGCTCATTATCGCAGCGTGAAAGGTACCTCATAGTCGCATCAACAGGCATGGCAGATGATGTCGGCCTTGTCGTGAACTCGAGGCCAAAGTTGTAATGAGCGGTTCTCTCGCACCCACTGCTTCTCTCCTCGCTTATTAGATTCCGGATCTCAACGACATGCGCGGGTCCTCGTGGTTCTAGCCCATACATCGCGTCAATGCGGATATTACGACTGTGGCAGGTCATGCGTACTCACTATGCGTTGGATTGGGCCGATCCGGAGCCGCCACCGGAAGAGCAGAGGAGGGGTACCCACACGACTTCAGTGTGGGAGTGAGTCCACATGAGCCTTGCGATCTAGGTATGCCCGTGATCGAGGGCACATCCACGTACAATGCGGCGGGCACCTTCTGCGACATGGAAGGCGGATTGCTCTGGTGCGGATGACTGGTGCCTCGTCGTATTGTGTACATGCTTCCAGCGTGTTTGTCCAACGATGAGGCGCTTATCGCCGGCAACTTAAACCTGCGCTCCTGCGTAATTCCGTAACAGATGAGCTTTCTGTCTTTCTAGGAGATACCACTGCCATCAGGTCATGACGTACCTGGACAGCGGCAAAGTCGATGTAAAACGGTTCGCAAGTGATGGATCAAGGAACGCTGTAAGTGCGCGCCCGATTCCCATGGCAGAGCAGCTTTCCGACGAGTCACAGGCATCACATCAGGACAGCCTTGGTCGATTCCCGAGTGGCGAGACTTGTGTTGAGAACCTCGATTCTGCCTTGAGGTGTGTTTGTGGTCTTGTAAATTTTCAGGCGGTACTTTTACAATGGCTGGTAGACGCGTCAGTAAGGCTTTACAATCACAATATCTTCCAGAACGGAAGAGTACGGCGCGGTCCGGCGTGCAAGAGGCTGGATTATCGAGGAGCTGCTCTGAAGACGAGCAAAAATGTTCTGCGTAGCGGGCGCTAATATCACGGGGAGTCCCGATCAAAAGGGAGCGTGGGAATAGACCCCAGCTATTGAATTAGGGGCGGCGTGGTTCAGACTTGAAAGCAAGTCTACATCACTTTACAGAGAGACGACTCACAGCCTCCAACTGTTATTCACTGTTCTTCCATCGTGGGTTGCCGCCAGCTTCTCAGGACTCAGGCTGATACTACGACGCATGAACTTAGCATTACTCACGTAGCATGATCGCCGTCTAACGCACCGCCACATTTCTTGCATCCTTCCTTATGTTATAAATAAAGGGTTGAATCACTTCAGATACAGCGACCAACGACATCTTGTGTCTCCTTATCGCTATGCTGGACCTAAGAAATGGCCTCTCAGACCATGGAAGCGATCTACTATGAGAAGGTGAGCGTACATGCACTGACATCTGGTTGCCTCCCAATGCATGACAGTTGTCGTAGGCGGGTTCATTCAAGCTTGCCATGGTTCCAGTACCAGAGTTCAAACCCCGTGAGGTGCTGATTAAAGGTAGGTGCGAGGATTGGCAACCTGAACCACGAGATTCGCTGACCTCATATGCAACGTCCCGCTAAGTTTCTTGTTGCGGTAAGCGTCCAACCAATGTATTGTACACAGTATGACTTAACTGCGTTCAGGTCTTTGCGGGTCCGATCTGCATCTAAATGGCGAGACGAACATTGTAACCTATCTCGTACGCATTGGTCCATCTCGGCTTGTCGCCCCGTGGAACGCACCCCACTTATTCCCACCCTTCCAGTTCATCCCTGGGCATGAAGTCGTCGGCGTCATAGCCCAAGTCGGCAGTGCCGTTACCGGGTTCTCCAAAGGCGACCGCGTTGTCGCAGATCCTTTGGTCGAGGTACGCGCCTGCTCTTACACCCTGGGTATCTAGTACCGATTCGACATGGCAATCACTGACGTCCTGGACGCTCTACACAGTGTGGTCACTGCTTCTTCTGCCTCCGCGCGGAGTTCGTGCTTTGCGAGAACCTCAACGGACATGGAGTCAGCATCCCTGGGGGCTTCAGCCAATACGTCGCTTTGTGAGCCTGTCTCCCGCTGTTGCCGTCGTTGCCGTGTCGCTGCGGCATTCGCAACCTGCCCTCCCGTCCGGGCTTACTCGTGCTGATCGTATAATGATTTGTGCAGTGAGGTCCGCAAAGTGTTCAGAACGTTCAAGATCCACAACATCTCCGACGAAGAAGCGATACTCATCGAGCCCACCGCCTGCGCCATCCACGGCATCGACAAACTCGATGTCAAACTGGGTATCGAGACACTCGTCATCGGCGCGGGACCCACCGGGCTTGTCCTCGCACAACTTCTCAAACTGTATGGCGCATCCAAGGTCGTGATAGCGGCGAATAAGGGCATCAAGACGGAGCTCGCACGCAAGTTGGCTGCGGCAGATGAGTATGTCGAACTGGACCGGGCGGACCCAAAGCCGCAGTGGGAGAAGCTGAAGAAGGACCATCCGTATGGCTTCGATGTGGTGGTCAGTGCATGCTTTCTGCGATCATCATGAAACACCATCTGAATTGTTCTTCCACGATGCGGTGCAGGTGGAGGCGACAGGATCAGCCGCCCTCGCGAACGACGCCATCAACTACGTGCGGCGAGGCGGTTCGCTCTTGGTGTACAGCGTTTACGACCCGAGTGCTCTGGTCCAGTGGTCTCCTGCCAAGATATTCATCGACGAGATAAAGGTTTGTTCGCTTCATACCCGGGCGCATCGCCAGCTGATTGACTTAATGCACATAGATCGTTGGCTCGTTCTCACAGCCGAACTACTTCCCGCGGGCGGTGGCTTACCTCGACAGCGGCAAGATCAACGTCAAGGGATTGGTGCGCTCTACCATGCCTTACGCTTTAACCCATACTAACCGTCCAAACGTATGCAGGTGACGGACGTGTTTAAGCTGTCAGAATTTCAGCAAGCTCTGGACAAACACAAGAGTCGGGACGTAGGGAAGATCGCCGTCAGGCCTTAAGATACCGTGTACAGGTGTTCTCTAAGTCTGCAGGATCTATAGCTGTATGTATATTTATTCAACAAGACATATCAGGTCGACTGCCTGATTCGCACACGCTGGGAGATTATCGGAGCGAGTTCGAGCGCAACCTGTGGGCTCGTCTACGGGATGTGAGCCACCGTGACTAGAGTCTACTGGGGTCCCAGACGATCAGGTCGTTTATCTCTACGATGTGCATTGCCTGGTTGCAGTAGCCTACAACGAGGTTTGCAAACCTCTCGGATATCGGGCCAGGAGGTATGTACCGAGTAAGTAGCCGATTTCAAGTGGAATACAGGCTCGATCAGTGGCAGTCCATACCGCGACTCACCACCGTTCAAATAATCTTCACGCTCTTCCGAAGTTCGCCCTACGGAGATGCCCGTAGGCTTACCACTGCGCATGCGCCAGTGAACCTTGGTTTCCATACACTATCATGCCGCCATGAACGCGTACATATAGCCATGTTCAATGCTCACACATATTGAACTCCACCTCGAACACCTGCATATTGTGATCCCCCACGAACTGAGACCGCTCCTCCATCAGCTCGTCCCGATGTTCCTCCGCATCCTCGCGCGACATTAACCCAACGGATGCGTATCTTAAGACAGCATCGTACAGCTCCTGCGGAAGCTTCCCCAGAATCGGCGCCTTCGCCACCTCATCCAGTACCCAGTGCTCCTGTTGCGGGGGGACGTCGCTCGTCGACAGGATTCGAACGAAGGGATTGACCACAAAGAAGCACAGAATCTTCCGGTACCCGGGCTTAGTAGGGTCCGCAAGTTCAAAGGCGTCGACGTGGTGCTGATACACATTCGGGAACGCGACACACTTGTCCTCCTCCGCGATGATGTGCCCCAGACACTGATTGAGCGGGCTGTCACGCTGTAGTCCGAACGCAGTGCGGTAGCCTTTCTCGTCATCCTGCTCGTACTCGAGAGAAGCGCCGTCCGAGTTGTCTTCTGAGTTACCCACGGCCGTTCGGAAGTCAAGGCGTGACTCGGTGAGGTTCTCGCACGCGTAGTAGTAGAGTCCTGTAGCAACGATGTTCTCGTTCTCCATGCCCTCAACGTGCCACGAGCCGCCAGGGTACTTCGGGTTCTCAGGGGTGAGGATGATGTTAGCGAGCTTGATGATCACCTGAAGGGTACGTCCACGAAGGGAGATGGTGACTCGATTCTCCTCGTCTGCAGCAGAAGGCGGCGCGAAGGGATCGGGCTCCGGAATGTGTGGCCATTGATGGTACTTCTCCCACTCAACCCATGCGGCGTCATACTCCTCCCGACGGTCTTGTGACTCGGCGCTCCATTTCGGTTGAAGCGAGTCTACGTGGTCGTACCATTCGCACGGATGCGGGCGTATGACATGTGGAGGTAAAGGGCTGAGTGCGTCCGAGAGGACCTTCTCGAACATAGGCACGAAGAGCGATAAGACGGAGGAGATAGTAGGATACAAGGCCCGGTGATGAATAGGGTGGAGGTTATTGATGTACGCGAGGGATCTGACATTGCCTGATCTCGAGACCTCGAAATCGGTCGGGATCCACTGATAGTCGAGGGAGACGAAGAAGCCGGATGTTTGCTCAAGATCTGGGCGGCGACTCATGTAGTCATCCAACGTTAGCGGTACGATGGGATCGGCATGGCCCGCGTCATGCCGGAATACATGCGAGCGACCGATGCACAAGCAATACATCGACGGATGGACAAGATCGAGGACTTGGTCGTTAGATCCTGGATGCCAATCCTTCTCCTCTTCCGGAACATTCTCGAGTGCCATGATGCCTCGCAACAGCAGTCTCTTGAGATCATCCGGAATCAACGAGCGTGATTCGTATACCTGGTGGATTGCAGTAGCCTGCCAAGTAGTCAGGACCACTTGTCATTTGTAGTGAAAGACAACCGGTTGTCGCACTCACGAAGATGCCCGTTTCCTTGTCATACTGACTAGCTTCATATCGCAGCTCGTCGAAGATGTAGCTGAGCTGTACGTCACTGATCTTCTCTCGCGGCCACTGTTTCTCGCCTGTTCCACTGTCGTAATACTTGTCGCCGCACCAGAACTTGTCGACCATGACGGTGTCATGCTCGATCATCTCGCGGCGCCACTTCATCACAATCTCGTCATCTTGGATCTTCCTCCACCAATCTGGCTTAGAGCGGACCGTGCCAGAGAACCGGCGCATGCGCAGCTCGACGAGGGTGATCGGTGTGCGGTTGTTAGTTTCGAAAGGAGACGGGAACGCTGACTTAAACTAAGCCATGGTGCATCAGGGAATCTGCTCAATTGCAGCTCATCACTCAATACGGTGTATTAGTTGTACCCACTGGCGTCTCCATATCGCTCGAAAGCCTGAGATGAATGCTAGACACCTCCGGATGCAGCCCACGTTGACGCAGAGTAAGCACTGGCAGATAGATGATAACCTCGGGGGTAGGTACTGAATGCTCCAGTGTCAGAAGACATGATCACAGCCCATTCGACTTGTATGACTCACTGGAGTGCACCAAGTTGAGCAATCGCACCGTGATAGAAAGCTGCGACGCCCTGTTGACGCCTCTGACTCCTAGAGTAGCGGTCACCGGTGTCAAGCCTCCGATCATCGGGTACATCGATTGTTTGACAATAGCGCTAACGGGCCGAGTGGCAAATTCATTCATTGAAATCAGTTCATCTAAATAGGTTTATTGTAACTGGAATTGGTCTAAACCTACCTCAACAAAAGCTAATAAACTCGCGAGCCGTCATTTCTGATGAAGATGGGAGGATAACTTGGACGATCGGAATTATATCAGCCGTTGGTCAGGAGCGATGGATTCGTTTTGTACACGAGAACAGGGAACAAGCACTCGATGGGATTGGGGTTGAGGTGGGGTTAATCTACGGCACAAGTTTTACTGACCTCGAGGCTGCAGCTTTGTGCACCGCACAAGAGCCAAGGAGGAGGAGAGGAAGGTGCGGGAGCTCAGCTAGCGGGGCACTGGCAGAATCTTCAGAGGGAACACGTCGGAGTAGTACAGAGACGAGGTAATTATGCTGTAGATCCTGCATGTAAGCACGCTCGGACGGGCTCACCCCCGCCCGAAGTGCGAGATGTATGAATATAGGATGTATCATACTTTTGAGGTACATCAGGAAGCACCAATAGAGTACAGTATCGTATGACTCGGACAGAACTTCGAGATCCCCCAGGCCATTTCGTGTACATCTGTTTGACAGGCGTCTAAACATGCCGATCGGCATTACATTGACCCAAACATTGCCAACACGATGCCTCTTCTGCTCTGAAATTCGTGGCACAACACTGGGTGTACACGATCGGCGAGCAACACATGAAGTGGACGCACGAGGTAAGCTTGTCGTCAGCCAGGTAGCCCTGCCAGACCTCGATTTGAAATGGTAGGCCGCTGTCTCTCGCGTGTCGAGATTTATTCGATATCTAAACGAGGTTCCCACCTCAGATTCCCAAGCACCCACCCTACAGGACATCATGTTCTCATGACCACACATACAAGAGCAAGAATGAGAGTCTTTGCTTCCCTCATCAATCTTGCTATCATCCGAGCCACCTCTCAAGTAATCGAACATGAGCGCCCTGACGTCGAACGGAAAGCGGGTTGTAATCATAACGGGAGCTGCCGAGGGCATTGGGCGAAGCATCGCGCTTAGGCTTGCGAAGGACGGCTTCGACTTGGGCCTATTCGATCTGCCTAGGGCGAAAGACCGACTGGAGGAGGTCGTACATGAGGTGCAGAGCGAGCATAAGACGCGGGTCGTGACCATGTTTGGGGACGTTTCGAAGGAGGACGACGTCCAACGACTAGTTGAGACGGTCGTGCAGGAGCTTGGGGAGCTCTACGCGGTACAGTTTTGCGCCAGTTCATTTGGCAGGATGATACATTTGTGCTAAATTGGGCGTACTCGTAGATGATCGCGAACGCGGGTGTGGCGATCAATCGTGTCCTGCATGAAAGTATGACTTGCCTCCCATCTGCCTTTGGTGGAACCCCTGAATGATCGCATCCTGCCAGCGCCCACCGAGGAGCTTGATCGACTACTCAACATCAATGTCAAAGGGGTGTTCTTCTCGTACAAGTATGCAGCGATTCAGCTCATCAAGCAAGGCAAAGGCGGGCGTATCATCGGCGCAGCGTCCGTTGCCAGCAAGAAGGGTTCGTATTCCGACCTGTTCTGCTGTGGTCGTGGGCGTACTCACTCGCAATCATTGTCTGTGACTTTGTTTCTTTCCCTGCGTTCGTAGGACTCCCGGAACATGCTGTGTACTGCGCGACGAAGTTCGCCGTCCGGGGTCTGACTCAATCCGCCGCGCTGGACTACGGCAAATACGGAATCACGGTGAATGCATATGCCCCTGGTGCTATCGATACTTCGCTTCGTGCGTATGCTATGCTTGATCCCACTCGGCTTTTGTTTTGACCATCATTGGTAGTCAATGACCTCGATGAATACCACGTGAACGTCGACGGACAGCCGAAGGGTGCATGGAAGAACTCGGTAAATGCTCGGCGACGTACCTCAGTACGCCGCTTGCTGAGCACTGAACCTATACTCTGCAGTTCCAGAGCCCGCTTGGACGGATCGGGCAGCCGGAGGACGTCGCCAAGCTCGTGTCTTTCCTAGTCTCCGACGAAGCCTCCTACATAACCGGTGAGTAAGGCAAGCCTTCGGATGTGGGAAAGCTCTCATCTGCTGTACTATTTTCACCCATCCTATTCAGGACAATCTGTGAGTCTGGCCCAGCCTCTCTATGGGAATTGCGGAGCATACTCTCACATGCCTGTACACAGTACCTCGTCGACGGAGGGTTGCATTTCGATTGAGAACAGACGAGTGGACGTTGATGAACCCTCAACATGACCTGATTCCCACCTCTTCGGCGCGCCGTGAACCGCGCCACGAAGACATCATCTGTATAGGAATCCTGCGTTGCAATGAACGCGACTGAGCCGGGCTGACAGGGGTTCGTGCGCATGCGGATGCGTGTGAGAGGCATCCGTCGACCTCAACGACGTCCACCGTGATACCTCTGCTAAATTGTCTCGCTCTTCTGAGTGTGAAGAGGACACCTGAATTTGCTTGAGTAGGTTGCTCTTCACCTCGGCCTTCGCTGAGCAGTGAACTGCGCCGCGTGGGATAATGCACGACTCGATGTGTGTTGACACAACCTTCGTAGAACGTGCCGGATTGAGTCCTGGATCGCCTTCAAAGATATCCCCCTAGTATTCGCCACTGCCACTTAAACCTCATGGTCGGGAAGTAGTAGTGGAGTCGGTCGCGGAGCCAATGGCATGGACCCAGAGGGTCGACTCGGAAGTGCTACAATCACTGGGGAGTCTCGGCTCTCGTCCGAGCGCTCGCTCCCGCCGGCAGGCTAGCGGCTGCAGTCCCCCTGCCGTCGACCACGCCCGCCTACAGCTCATCTGTGCTCATCTCTTGTCGTCTCCCTTCTTCCTGGTCTAGCTTACATGCATGAGACAGTACTGCGAGGCATACGGCAAGCGAGGGCGGGCCCGAAGCGGCCCGGAGCTCGCCACGTGTTCGGGCTTATACTCCAAGAACCAAGTTACTAAGTGGTAAGCACAACAAAAGGGTTGCATCCCTTTATATCATGGCTCAAGGACGCACTAGATGATATCTAGTTTGCTGAGGACTTCCAGCGCCTGTTATCATTGTAGCTTCTCAGACTCCCAGGAAGACGATGACCTTCAGCGGTTGAGATGTAGTCACCGGCCGACCGGGGAATTCGAAGCAGCTCTCATTGTCCGGTCGCGAGCCGCCGCCGACTTCCAAGGCTGACGCATGACCGCAGGTGACTAAGTCGCCGCTGAACTTCGCAGCGCAGCTCCTCAGCTCTTTTAAATAGGGTGGACTTGAACAGCGGGTAAGGTGAGAGTCTTCGTCCTTGTCCACGTATCACCCTGATAGAATTTCGGTATGACCATCCCCAAGACCATGGAAGCGATATACTACGAGAAGGTGAGCGCTCAACAAGGATTGTTGTCCTTCGATTGACAATCAGCATTTCAGGCGACTTCATTCAAGCTCGCCACAGTCCCGGTGCCTCAATTCCAGCCTCACGAAGTGCTGATCAAAGGTAGGTGCAGAGTTAACGGATTTATTCATCAGGCTCGCTGACCTTGATTCTGCTTCTGAATACGCGAAGTCTCATGTTGCGGTCAGTCGATTCGGTATATCCATACGTCTATCCTCATCCCATATTAGGTCTTTGCGGGACTGACCAGCACCTGCACTCTGGAGAGACCAGCATGGCAAGCTATCCCGTATGCATTCACACATCCTGACGGTCGGATGATGGAAAGCACCTCGCTTATCCCAACTTTTATAGTTTATCCCTGGACATGAAGTCGTAGGCGTCATAGCCGAAGTCGGCAGCGCCGTCACCGGGTTCTCCAAAGGCGACCGTGTTGTCGCGGACCCTCTAGTTGAGGTGCGCACACAACACGGACCTTATATTGACTCGACACGTTTCTCACTCTCGTCCCAAACTCTCTACAGTGTGGCCACTGCTTCTTCTGCCTCCGCGCAGAGTTTGTGCTCTGCGAGAACCTCGGCGCGCATGGAGTGAGCATTACTGGGGGTTTCAGCCAATACGTCGCTTTGTGAGTCCGTCTCTCGCTGTTGCCGTCTCCACCAGCTGCCGCATCCGCGGCGCACCCGCTCTGGCGTCCGAGCTGACTCGTACTTCCCTCCCATGAACCGTACAGTGAGGCCCGCAAAGTGTTCAAAATACACAACATCTCTGATGAGGAAGCTACGCTCATCGAGCCGACCGCATGTGCTATACATGGCGTCGATAGACTCGAGGTCAAAGTAGGCGTTGAAGCCCTCGTCATCGGCGCTGGACCCACCGGGCTCGTCCTCGCACAGCTTCTCAAACTCAACGGAGCAACCAAAGTTGTGGTAGCGGCGAACAAGGGCGTCAAGACGGAGATTGCGCGCAAGTTGGGCGCGGCAGACGAGTACGTCGAGCTGGATCGGGCGGACCCGAAGCCGCAGTGGGAGAAGCTGAAGAAGGACTATCCCTATGGCTTCGATGTGGTGGTAAGTTCGGTATATCGCAGCTCTTGCGAGATCAAGTTCATGACTCTGGATTGATGCCGTGTAGGTCGAGGCAACGGGATCGGCCGCAGTAGCAAACGACGCCATCAACTACGTGCGGCGAGGCGGCAAGCTCTTGGTGTACAGTGTGTACGACCCGAGCGCCCTCGTCCAGTGGTCTCCCGCTAAGATATTCATAGACGAGATCAAGGTAGTATTTGGCCTACATCCGTCCACATTGGCAGCTGACATTCTGGTGCGCACACAGATCATCGGCTCGTTTGCGCAGCCGAACTGCTTCCCGCGGGCAGTAGCATACCTCGACAGCGGTAAGGTCAACGTTAAGGGCCTGGTGCGCTTTGCAGGGATTTCCACGGTTTCTGCATGCTGACGACTGAGACTTGCTGCAGGTCACAGACGTGTATAAACTGTCCGAGTATCAGCAGGCTCTGGACAAGTACAAAAATCGGGATGTGGGCAAAATCGCCGTCAGGCCCTAAGGCATTGACATTCGGAGAGGGAAGGAATCAAACATCGGAGCCCGAAGCATTTACAGCTGCATGTATACTGACCTTGACGATATCTTTGAAGTCGATTGTTTGATAGACGCGTGTGCAGAGGGATTGTTGGAATGAGTTCGAGCACCATCTGAGGAGCCGGTCGGCGGAATAGGAGGCACGGTGAGAAGTACTGGCGTTCACTATCGAATCAATGCAGGAGGGTTCGAGTAGGGGCTAGTGGTCAGATCGTCCGGTTCTGGATTACTGTTATGATCTGTGCCACACGCTCGAGAGCAACATACTGATATTGACATGAACGTAGTCGAGACGATCCTTCCCAGCGATCTACTTCTTGAACTCCGCCGAGGCCAGGTTGATCATGCTACGTGTGGCTTGTCGACTGCGAACTCTGCGTCGGTCCCGACTGTCCTGGTAACGGGGGAGCGTGCTCGGTTCGAGCCAGCGTTGTATCAAGTCCGCGCCATGTCACCAATGATGCTGTGAGCGTGTGCGCCTTGCTTGCCGACAAGTCTCGTGCTCGTTCCAAGCAGACGGTCAGTGTTCTTGCGTTAGCAGCTGGGACCTGCGCTATGCGTGATGTATCTGGATGTGGATGAGATTGTGCTGCAGCGCGACCAGAAGTCACGCTGGTTCATCTCTGGGCACAATATGACATCAGGCAGACACAGACTTACAAGGCAGGCCCTCCCTGCTCTAAACCATCACTCATACATGCTCCCCCTTTAAATACTGTGTAAAAATGAAGCTTACGAGTCCGCACGGCATGCTACACTTCCTCCAGGGGCTTCATCTCCACCGACTCGCCGTCCGCTTGGTAGACCTTCGTGCTGCTCGCCGCGGTATTGCCGCTGCCCAAGGCAACACCATACTTGACGGCGCGACTGTCCTGCGTACTGTAGCCTCTCGAGGCCCATACCATGGGCGTAACGGGTGCTCCTTTGGTCGTCGTCTCGATCGAGAGCCCGAGCATGACGCGGATGATGATCAGCGTTGGGGCAATTCCCTAGAGTGGTTCGGTCAATGCGCTTGTAGGAGGCGATGAGCGGGCATGAACATCTCAACGTACATAGATCTGGAGCGCCATCACGGCGATGACGCCCTCCGAGGGGTGAGGAATAGAGAGCGTGACGACATACGTCAGCTGCGCCGCGAAGTAGAGCAGCCCACTCTCGACGATGGTCGATATCGCGTTCCGGGCTATGCTGCGGCCTGCGAAGAGGGACGCGTCGACCCCAGGCATGGGGCGAGACAGCCACCATATGCGCCCAATGATGAGGACCGTAGCGAGCGCGTTCGTACCCAAGGGAAGCGCGTAACCGGCGATGGTGAGGGGCAGCATGGCCGCGGGCGGTGTAGGGGAGGTGGGGTCGAGGGTGACCACGTAGTGAACTACTACCATGATGCACGCTGTAGACACCAGTCAGGATAGTTCACGGAGCGTTTCGAAGACGACGACTGACTGAAACCGGCGACTGCGCAGAGTGATGGTAGGATAATAATCCAATAGTTCCTCCCCCACAGCACCCACAGGCGGTAGATCAGGATGTAGTCTCCGAGGAGATCGCAGAGGGATAGAAAGATGTCTGCTCCCACGAGCTGTGTGGTTTCGTTCGCATATCCGTGAACGCCCTTTGCGGCCTGATACATGGACGTGAACAACGTGCAGCGTAGAAATCAAGTTATGAACATACGAGAGTTGTGTAGAAATGATTGAACTCCAGTCCGTAGTGGACGGTGCAAGCGATGAATAGTGCCACATGAGCGACGACCACGGGAAGCGACAAAGGAGTGGACTGCTTCCGCTTGCGCATAAGGACGATAGAGACGAGAAAGAGGATTGCGTAGGCCCCTAGCGAGTTAAGAAGATGCAGCGTGAGTATCCCGAGTCGCTCGATTCCAGAGACACATCTTACCCCAGAGTGTCGCCTCTCCCGCGAACCCAATCAGCGCCGCCAGGTCGTCCGTCAAGTGCACCATCCTGACAGTGTCTGTCGGGGGAAGGAGAGAAGCGTCGATCGAGCACACTCAGTCGATCAGGCTTAAAAACTTGACAGTCGTGTTGGGCATCTCCTTCGCCTTCTTCCACCGCTGACGGCCGGCACAAAGCTAGTGATCTACGGAAGAGGGCTCAACGCAACACCATCTTCTGATATCAGCGGAGCGCATTCGAATTGGTACTAGTCCACGTGTCAGTACTCACAGTCGTACTTTGTGCAGCATGTTGGCGAGAAGTTGCCTCGATTGTCGCGAGACCGGCCGGCCGGTCAATACCGTTAGCATGGAAAGACATGAGGAAAACGTACAGCCACTCCCTGTAAAAGCCCCCGATGAGAATTTTCCCAGTGTTGTGGCCTTTGCAGATATGTTAGCCTCTCGAGGAAGTTTCGCGAGAGAAGAGCGGTCTGCCCGCTTTTGCAAGAGGAGCATGCACCACTTCTCATGCAGAAGCCTAGCAAGCAGTCGCACGGCTCGATTCAGAATTTCACAAGAAATTACAAGGTTGACCGCTCCCTTGCCAGTGAGCAGGAGCAGAGCAAGAGCAGGAGGCCAATTTCAAAGCGCTGCGCCTGCTGTCTGGGCGATAACCGGATCACCGTGAGAGATCGTCTCTACGGTTCCCGGCGCCCGTCCATATGGTTTTTGCCGCTGGCGGAGTCAATGTTTCGTCTTCCTGCGATGATGTCTCTTATCCCCTTGCTTTTGTGCTCGCCCGCCGTACACCGCGAAACATCTCGCGGGTGGAACCCAGGTGGAGGAGCGCGCCGGTGGATGAGGGCAGGCTAGCCAGTTCTGAGTGTTGCGTACCACTAGAACGTCAGTTTTCCAGCATGGTTGCACCGTGGTCGAGCCGTGTATAGCGCCGCAGTGCATCGGCTCACCTACGCGTCGAACTTAGTGCCTTGCGGATTATCCCGAGAAATTCCACTTACAGGTACGTCCAAACGCGCCTTCGGAGGCTTGTCGTCGTGCTCCCCATGCGCGTTGCACCGGGATCTAAACGTTATCGGAGTACTCTTAGCTACGTGTAATCTATCTCGAAGTATCGCCAAGATGTCCTTGGGGCACCTTCACCCCGAGATGAGGGCTTGGGACTCTCCACCGGTACACGGGAGGCCATTAGCCCTTCTGGAGTCTTTTTCGCTTACAGCGATGTGCAGAATGATACGGAAAACGCGTTTTGAGCGCGACCGGCGCTCAGAGAGACGCTGGAGGGTCACGGGACTCGAACGCTGACCGCTATGACTTTGTTACTCATCGTTACAGGAACGTGACATTGGCCACTGAAGCACAAAATGTGGGTTCTCTTCACTGGACGACTCAGTCTTGCTTCATGAGACATCAGTTATGCATCATTATTCTAATCTTTTCGCTCTGTTCTCCTCATTGCTATGTTAAGCCTTTGTGGACCGTCTGGAGGGCTACTGTGACCAGAACAGCGCTCGGTCTCCGGCTCTTTCCGGGTGCCCGACGGCCAGCGTTTGGGTCTCCGAGCGCCCAACAGACGCTGGCTCACAAAAATGCGTCTGCCGCGGCCGTATCATTGTGCACATCGCTGTAAAAAAAACTTGGGCGTTGCCACACCACAACTGTTTGCCGACAATCGTGGTGCACACCGCGGCGCCATACACGGCTTGACCGCGGTGCAACCATACTGAAAATCTACTTAACGTTCCCCATACCACGGACCGAATCAAGTTCTCACTCATATCGTCTTTGGCCAATCACTTGCTCGCCAAGACCAATCATACATCTCCGTGTGTGCCCGGAAAGCGGTCTTCCATCCCAAACAAGCCTAGTCCTTTTGAAGAAGGCGAAGTCGCATCTCCATGGGATAGACCTGTCATTGTCTTGCGAACATCGCCGAACCGTTGACGATTTCAGCGGTGCGGAAAAGAACTTGGGTATGTGGCGCAGAGAGAGCCCGGGATGTAGAGACGGTCGTGAAGTCATGTCGACCTACTTGTGAGCAGCATTCACAGTACTATGTAGCTCGTTCCCACAGGCAGCGAGTCCCACACATATACAGACTTCGTTCATGTCCATGCCGACTCTCGAAGGCCAGTTCTCTGCCCACTCTCTGCTATCTTGCACTTAGCGAACAGCGATGCGCGCTGCAGTGTTGGTCCTCCTATTCTCCGCCGTCGTTCTCATGGCTCGAGGAGCTCCCATCATTCCGGAGGCCGCTGCTGAACGCCGACGTGCGCAGGATGCCTTCCTTGATAGAGAAGCCAAGAATCAATCACTGACGTCTGTCCAAACAGAGGCTGAGCCCATTCTGCACGGATTCATCCATCCATCCATCAATGCCGAGGCCCGCGGTCAGCCGCTCGCAACGTAGAAGATCATACTCGAGCTGAGTCTACATACGAGTATCAGGTGAGTAACTTTCCTACAAGCTGTGTCGTCGGGACGGGGTCTGAAGATATCAAACTGAGTTCTTGCCGCTTCTCAGGAAGTCGCCATGGCGGGTACTATCGCGGCTAGGACTATAATGGAGAGTCTGGATTGCAGAGTACTTTACTATAGACTGAGCAGCGGCCGATGTAGACGACTATCCTTGTATTCCGGTTACATAATGTCTGCGCGTGGAACCGTATAGGGTTCTGTACATGTATCGACATTAACTTCGGTAGCGCGGCCACAAAGACGCAGAATTCAGACCTGTAGGACAAGTCGAGCGACGTGTGCTGCGCCACTCAAAGACAATCCGTGGGAGGTGACTGTTCTCATCGTACACCAGTAATCATCTTCCTTGGACTGACAGTTGGCCGACCTCAAGGTCGCACATGCGACCACAGCTCAGCGCTCGATGTCCAACGTCACCCAAGTCGGGCCGTCTACACGTTCCTGGGGGCGTGCGCCAGTAATCAGCTTCTGGTACATAAACTCCCGAGTACTTAGAGGTCGCAGTCAGGAAGCAGACGTCCTTGGCCGCACTCACCCAACATGCGTATCGTGCACGCAGCCCTCCTCGCTATCGCCACCGTTCTCGTAGTCCCTGCCTCTGTGCTTGCTGTTCCCGCCGCTAGCCCTGGTGAGTGCTGAGTAATGTTACGATTATGCGGTTCGTCGGCGCTCTGAGCTGTTGCTGATGCTTACTTCTAGAGCCCACTGGCACAGATGGGAAGATCTTGAATCACTCGGTTCACGTGAAAGTCAATCGTATGCATTCCTTGTGGCGCTTTCTTCGTACGGACAACTGACTGGCACACAGAGAACAACTGAACTCGATATCGCCTGAAACCGGTGACGCATCTATGTTCCGTTGGACCCATGGCACGTTGCCAGGGGATGGTCGGTGCCCTTCGCGACGAGCAGAGGATACTAGTCTCGTATATTCCGCATTAGAAGCTCAGCCTGTATTCTGGTCCTTGTAACGCAAAGATGAGATAGTTATCTGATGACCCAGAAGCACCATAATACATAGCCGCTATACTGCGTCCGCAGCATTTGACGTCAACTCTGATACATCCACCTCAGAGGATTCTCCATCTCCCCGCAGTGTCTTTGTAGTATCCTTCGTAACCTGTGCCGATGCAAGGGCCATCGGGATCGCAGAGGTCTCGTAAGCGGGCTTCGCGGCGGCTCCAAGTAAGACGCGGATAATGATGAGCGCAGGCGCAATGCCCTGTAGTCAATTATCAGCGCAAGCGCCTTCGACAATAGGGGGATTTCAACTCACGTATATCTGCACGGCCATAACAGCAATGATACCCTCGGCCGGATGAGGGATGGCGATCAGGACGACGTAGGTCAGCTGGGCGATGAGATACAGCAGTCCGCTCTCCACGATCACGGCCAACCCATTGTGCTCGAACGTCCGTTCAGATTTCGGAGTCCTATGGGGGGACGATGTGCGCCTAGACTTGGACCAGATCCTGAAGCTGATGAGACCGGTGGCCATGACGTTCGTGCAGAGTGGAAGCGAGTAGCCCGCAAGCGTGAGAGGGACCAGGTCCGTGGGAGGCACAGGTGACGTCGGATCGGTGGTCACGACGAGGTGGACAACTTCCATGATACACGCTGCACGGGGTGGTGGCATGGTGGTCAGTACATGGAGCCCTAGAGTCCGGGAGTACGCACCGAAACCCGCGATGGCTGTCAGGGAGGGCAGAATCACGACCCAATAGTTTCTTCCCCACATCATCCAGCACCAGTAGATGAGAATGTAGTCGCCGATGAGGTCGCATAGGGAAATGAATATGTCTGCTCCAACCAGGGCGTGCGTCTCGTTAGCATAGCCGTCTACGCCTATCGTCCTCTGCAAATATCCGGGTCAAGAGAGAATGATGTCGACGTAGACGAGACTCACAAGGGTTGTATAAAAGTGATTGAACTCTAGGGCGAAGTGAACCGTGCAGCCGGAGAACAGCGCGCAATGTGCTGCTACAACAGGAAGACTGAGGTTTGTTCTCTTCCCGCGACGGCGCAACAATATGATGGAAACAACGAAGAGGATGGCGTTAGCTCCTGCGTACAAAGCGCGCTCAGTTCATCCCCGTCACGGGCGAGATCAAGTGACATACCCCACAGCGCAGACTCGCAGGCAAACCCTATTAGAGCTGCTAGGTCGTTGGACAGCATGGTATCACTGACGGTCAGCGAGTGCGGACGGCAATGTGCATTCGCAGGGAGAGCCTTAAGAGACAGATAGAGGGTGATGCATTACGAGATAATGCCAGCCGCCTGTAGTCTAGCGGAACTCTGGACATGAGCGCACTGATGAAACCCGCAAAACCATAAGAAATGGTACTTACTCACCAGACATTCAAGGTTCAGGCACAGAGAAAAAGGCACGGGCCTTCGGACGCCTTGGTGCCCACGGACTGCACTTTGCCCCTGACCGCGTGAGTAACAGACGGCGCTGCCCGGCTATCTACAACACCAGTAGGTCTATCGAGCGTCGACTGCGGTTTTGGGGGATGCTTCGTCAAGACGTACCCAGATGGTTGCTTTCCAATCCGGAGCAATGTACAAAGACACCTTGCGCGCTGCAGTTCCAACACAACCAAGCTGGCGCTAAGGTTGCGCATACGATGTTATGTCAGATAAATTCTGCTGCGGGTGTTGATCCCGTGAGATCTTGGACATGTACCAAGCCCCCAGTGCGGAGAGAAATTCGCAGACTTAGCAGCTACCTCCAGATCCGGGCTCATCAAACGCCGATCAGGACTCCCCGATGTCGTGGGCTGGATTTGCAGCCTTGAGACAAGCGCTGATCAAGGTCTCCTGGGAACGTATAAGTCGCATCGCAAAAGAATCGGAAGCAGCAAACACACGTACAATAGTACCAGCGCCAAGATTATGGGGGATATGCCTATGGACCGGAGCAGATCAGCAGTTTCCATAAGACTGAGCGCACGTTACTGCGCATGGTTCCACACCTGAGCGATACTGGGAAAGTGCGCATGTCTTCTGTGCATAGGAGTGCAAAAGAGCTGTTCCAGGGCATCGACGTAGTTTCCGGTGTACTAGTCAAAGTTGGCAAAGGTGAACTTGGTAGTCCTGGTACTACCCCTTCCGAGGTCCGAACCGCAGTCGCGTGCGGCAATTCTCATAGTTTGGGCTGAAGCCGAAGGGTAGTTCTTTTGCAGGCGATGATTGTCCCACCATCAAGTTCGTCAGTCAAGAATACAAACATCAGCAGCTGCAGACAGGAGGATCCGCCTCGAGGCGAAGCAAACACCGGCGTCTAGGGTCGCTGTTTGTCATCCATAAGCGCTGAGCTCTCGGTGGCGTCGCCGCCACCACCGGGTATGTACCGAACGTTGAAACGTTGAACATTGAACACCTGCAGTGCTGGCACTGTGACTACATAGTACTCAGCACTCAGTTCCAATCTTCGCTAGCGCCGTTCCTCGAAAGTCAACACAAGGGCTTGGATGCCGAGTCAAGACGGTCGAAACACAGCGACAGGGCATTGTTGAAGCCTGCAACTGTAATGATGACGTCGATTCCCGTCAGCTATGGGATTCGACGGGCGAATATCATTGTTGGACTGGGGGCCATATAAGCAATCACTGGGTGACGAAGCAAATGTGAGAGGTAGCTCCCACCGTTTCATGCAAGACTAATTGAACCTATTTGCTATCTCCGATGTCAGAGACTGTACTCCTTTGGATTTCTGTTTCATGCGTAACGGGACTCTCAGTTGTGGTACGTGCGATTTACAGCTATGTATTCGTGCGTTCAGAGTAGCACCCCCATCGAGCGTGCCTTACCGACCCGCCTTACCGACTCAGGCCCGACCTCTGTCTACTCCCACGGCTACCTCTCTCAAATCTTCCACGCTGACTCGATCCCTGAAGTCTCTACCACCTCGACGCAACAGAGCAGAAGTCTATGCACTACACCATCCACGTCGTCCATCTTCTTCGCGACCTGTATCAGCTTCCCAAACCTAGAACAGCCAACTCGAGTGTTACTGCGTTCTTGTGATTGAATGCTGTCGTCGCCTGTTGCCCACGTCAAAGCGGAGGCACGTTCATAGTAGCGCTACAGGCTATTCATATATGTGCATCTCTGTCGGTCAGATACACCACTCAAGGCTATAGTACGTGGAAGCTGTTGGTTGTTATAATAGAAGGTAGCCAGGCTGACGACGTACAACCCGTATGTATACCGGCTCTCACCCTCAACTTGTCGATATCCGAACTCTCATCATCTCCGGGGCCTCGTATCAGTCATATCCTACTTGAATAGGTTCGCCTAAGTCTTGCTTTATAGTTCCCAATCTGGAGACAGCTGATTTCACCAGACAGTCTGCAAACGAATATTCCTCCTTCAATCTGAAAGGAACGTCATGCTCCTCCGCATCCCACCTGAAATCATCGATGAGATCATCGGTTGGATTGACCATCCCGGTACCCTGCGCTCAAGTTGCTTGGTGTGCCACGACTGGCTGCCCGCAAGTCGCCATCGCCTGCTCGGAATCGTGTATATCCCCGACGCAGTCACATACGACCTATTTTTAACGCGTGTTGTTCGATGCGAAGATATGAGGGCATGCCTTGCGTCTATCCGAACGTTTGTGATCGGTGACGGGAAGAATCCCGACCTTCGAGCCCCCACCATCTTCCACGATCTCGCTGGTCTCCTCCCGAGCCTCGACACCCTAATTTTAGACTCACTTGACTGGATCAAGCATCCCCCGCATCCAAGAGCCCCCTTGACGCTGTCTCGATTCGCGAACGTCCGAGAGCTGGGTCTCTTCAGCATCACCTTCCCTTCCTTCGGATACTTCCGTCGTATGGTCACCTTCCTACCGTCGTTGGCTCGTCTCACACTCAGCGATTTTACCTGGCCTCATCCTCACCAGACCCCATTCTACGACGTGGCCCCCGAGCCGCAAACAACTCCTCATTTGAAGTCGATTTTAGTACTCTCCGATGTGCAAAGCGGCGTCGACCGCGCAGCATGTTTGAACACGCTCCTGGTCTGGCTATCTCGATCGCCTTTCAGACGATCCCTGCGCTCCGCCTCGGTGCCAGAAGGTATACTTGGCAGGAAATCCGGCGTTCTCTGGAACGACATTGGGCCGTCCCTCACCGCCTTGGAGATCCATAGTACGCGCCGTAAGTGCACTTCGCCAACATTTTCAACGCTCTGCGATGTCTTGACGCGTTGTCTTGTGCACAGCGTTTTGCGGGGAACCCGTCGCTGATCTGACAGGCTTCCCCAATCTTCAATGTCTCAGCATCCTCATGACATACCGATGGTCAACAGTCCTAAACGTCACGCGCACAGTCACATCTCATCTCCATGATTTGCTACTTCTCATGAGGGTGCCCGAGCATCTCCTGCAACCCCCTGACACTGGCAGCTGGCGGAAGCCTGACGAAGTACCGGCGTCTTCACCGCCGTTAGCCCGATTGCAAGACAACTCGACGCCGTGCTCGACGCGGCCAACTTCCGGCAGCTCCAAGCCCTCAGATTCTACTTCAACGCGGGCGGGTTCCCCAAGGGGGATGACGAACGTAAGGCCATCAGCCACCAGATCCTGCAACTGTTCAGCAAGCATACTCCAAAACTCTACGCCCGCGGAATACTCACAGTGGACTTCCTCTTGTACGTACCCGTCTCTTCTAGAGTGTTCTCAGAAAACTGCTCACATGCGTGTGCATGTATCCCCAGCGGAGCCAATGACAAGGAGATCATGAGGAACTATTGGCGTGCCTGCAGCCCAGTGAGCCAGCTACGAGAATTCGGCAGCAAAGCTACATGCACCGATTCGCCTTATATGAACCGCCTCGACGAGATGGATTAGCCCGACCACTCAACCAGGCGAGTGTCATCACCACCTATCTTTCCAGCTCACGCGTACCCAGGGGTGCTGACATTGTGACGGGTACTAGGTAGCAGGCTCAGGCTGATTCAACCTCTGTCTCTGCACCCCATCACCGCACTCACCAAGGAGTGGCCAAGGAGTGCGGTGATAGAGAGTGCGGTGATGGGGTGCACAGTGGACGCGCACATGGCTACAGCCCCAAGTCAACTCACCTCGCAGTGCCGTTCACTTCCACGAGGATCGTGTCCACCTGGACCTCCTCTTCTTCGTTCCGATAGCATTGTCCATTCAAAGAGCTGAGCAGCAATATACAAGCATCCGTGCGCACTTCTCCATAGCGTATAGCGTCCGTCCGGATGACCATCGAGCACACACCACTCACATCGCGCCTCTCTACAGCACGCAGCTCCCCAGCAGCACCGCCGCCCCAACGGCCGCCCAGCTCCACGCCGCCCTTACTTTCACCGCGCCGTTCGGCTTCGACGACCGCACCCCTTCCGTCTCCACCGACGCGACCGTGGACACCACAGACCCGACGGTCGGGCTCGGCGCCGGCCCGTCAGCGCCGTTCTGCGCGATCGCGGCCGCGCTCAGCTTCGCGAACCCTACCGAGGGCGGGGTCGCGCGGAAGACCGAGTACACGTTCTTGAGGAAGACGTCGCCGACGATCCACGGGGGCACCTGCGAGCCCGCGGAGGTATCGACGGCGATGAACGAGCCGATGCAGATGTTGCCGCGCTGCTGAAGGACGAAGTCGTCGTCCGAGATCGGCCAGGAGATAGTGCTCTGGCCGAAGCGGAGGGTGACATTGATGTTGGCGTTGCAGGCTATTTATATGCGCATGCGTTGGTGATCAGATATGCGGCGGGACGCGACGGCGATTAATTGTTAGTGAGAAGCTGTTCGTCGTAAGAGAAGGAGGATGGGGCAACGTACGATACGCGTAGTAGCCTTCGTTCTGGCCAGTCAAAGCTTGGCTCCCAGGGATCTGCGCGTATAGCGCCGCGATGCCGTCGGTAGGGCCAATGACGAGCGTCGTGCCCGTGTCGATCGCAGCATACGAAGCCGCGCCTGCGGGCAATTCGACGGATGCCCCATTCGCGCTCAGGCCTGCGGCGTAGCCCATGATTCAGCACGCGCGTCGAGAAGTGATACGAGACGACACTCGGACATACCGGTCAACTCCTGTATCCAATACGTGCCCTGACCGCCCGGGATGTCCTGGAAGTCGATGTCCCCAGTGAAGAGCGAGGTATTGACGGCGCCGAGATTGAATGTTCCTCCGGGCTCGAGGTCGCGGGCTTGGGTGTCGTTGGTGAAGCGTGTGAGCTGGAAAGCCATGAGCGGCTGGTCGAGCCCACCGTTGGTGGCGACGGTCTGCCAGAAGGGAGTCGCTCCTGACGAAGCGATGGTTTCAAACGCGAGGCCCATGAGTCCCGATACGGGGCTGTTCAGCAGGTCTTCTGTTACTGCCGTGGCGACAGCTGTAACCAAGTATCAATTCCATTGCGCTTCAACACTGTCATATGCTACCCACCGAACGTCTGTGCGTCGACCTTCAGGCCGGCCATCTGAACGACGTCTGTGCCCAGGAAGCCCTGCGCCGCGCCGGAGCCATAAGTGATCTGGAACGAGGTCTGCAAGTCTTTGAATGTGGATGACGCTACAGACAGTGGTTACCGCACGCCACCGGAAAGATAGAAGAATATGGACGCACTGTTGGGATTGAAGGTGGAGATACCCGACGTGGTATCTGACAACGCACTGGAGCCGGCTAGCCAGAGATCTCTGCACGAAGGTGGGTCAGAGGCAAGCAGGGCAGGACGACATGTGGGAGACGCACGATGAACCGGTGTCCAGGATCACGTTGTAGCCAACGGGGGGTGTGCCAACCGCTATTGAGCCGTAGAAGGACGCGTCCCCGTCTTGATTCCCAAGGCTGGAAGACAGTCAAGACCTGCTTCGGAGACCACAACGCAGAGACGTACAGGTTGTACCCACTCGCGCGCTTCTGCTGCGCAGACTTGCCAATGCCATACTTGGCGACGACCGCATCCCTCTGAAGCTGGAGCCATTCATCCGTGTTGTTGCGTTTAGGTCTCCGTCTGACGAGCGGGATCGACACTGGTGTTGCTGGTGACGGGGTCGGGATTGCGAGAGATTCGGTGACGAGAGAAAGCATGCATGACAGCGCAAGCGAGTAGGGAAGGAAATGCATCGCAGAAAGAGCAAGTGGGCCAGCCAAGGACGGTCGTACGATCGTGAAGAGCAAGTGGACGGCAGTAAGTAGAAAAGGAGAGGAACTGCGCACAGCGCGGGAAGCTAGAGGGTATATGTCGTCGGAGGACAGGTCTTATGCATTGTGCGCAGCTGCTGGACGCACTGCTGTGCCGTGTGAGCGATGGGTATAGGCGCGCGAAACAAAAGCGGGAGCCGACAGCACCTGTCGTCAGGGCTAAGCACAGTCGACGACAAGAGCTTCTGGCTGTCGGACAATGTGAGCACAATTATGTACTCGCTAGGGATAACAAGGACCACGCACTTTGTGAGTACCAGTCAGACAGGCTGCGGCATCAGCGGATGTCATTCAGCCATTGAGCGCTTGTGACGAGGAGAGCTTGACTGCGCTCGCTTGAGCGGGCTCTTTTGTTCCTTTCCACTCACATCTTTTCGTAACACTTTCTTGGCATGCTCGCCCTTTGCACTTGCGATCTTCGAACATCCAATTTGAAGGCTGTCCTGTTTCAATGGTTGATTGAACCGCGACAATCAAGAAGGATAACGACGGCTCAGAGGAAAGTGGGCGCGCAAGAACGAGCGCAAGGGAAGCTCTTGAGTCCTTATATATGTATGTAGGTATGTGCTCGTCTTCACAATGTGGTGATCGAATGTCTTCACAATGTGGCGATCGAACGCTGTGAGGGACCGGATCGTAAGACAAGAGATGATACTTCCCCCACATCTCTCATACTATTCATGAGTCGATCTTCTCGCTATATGGCCACACTTTCTTCCGTTCGCCGCTCACTTATATCAACGACAATCCATATCGCTCGTATCGCAGTCCTTTGCGATATCGAATGTGTGGTCACGGTTTGCATGCATGGGCACTGAGGGGACTCAGCGCAAGGAATGCACAGATACGATGGCGCAAATGCGCCGTTTATATGACGATAATCGGACTGAACTGAGTTCTAGCTTATGGCCATCTGAGACTCGTAGCCAAGGTTAGCCAAGGAGACCAGTTGCCTTCGCCCGCACTCAAATGCCGTCGGTATGCTTCCATTGAGACCCAGGTGCATCTGCTCAATTAGAGGCCGCATCCACTATGATTCAGCATCGCTGAAACGGCGCTCGGATCCCTTCCGAAGTCGAGCACTACGGTCTTAACGTTGAACGTTGGACATCGTCCCGTTCCCGCATGCACGCACGCACGAGCAAGCCACGCTCCGGAACCTGACCCACCAGTCAGCACTCTTGTCCTCCGACAGCTGGGTATTAGAAACAAAGCGCGTCAAAAGTCTGTTAGGCTATTGACATTGTATTTTGATATCCCGACGGGATACTTACTTTCAGGCATAGCTGTAGCAGACGACACACTGTCAATGTTGGTTACCGCGGTCGTGAAGACTCCGAAAGCGAGGACCATTGCGAGGAGGGCGACCTGCGTGAATGTGGGCATACTTTTGAGTGTTGAGGATGTGATACACTGTTCGTGGTCGACATAGATCGCTACGGGAGCTTATATCCTCGTCATGTACCAGCCATTGTCCTGCTAGTCAGCGCATCTCGGTACGTTATTGTTTGCTGCGGCTTGGAGCTGGCTTTGCTTCTGATAGAACTTGGGACCCGCCCTCTGTACCTTGTTCAGTGGCTTCAACTTCAAGATGAACTGACTCCGCAATATACTTGGCCATCCATCGAAGTTACGGAATTTGTGTCTCTCATTGAATAGTTCGAACATGATAGTGCTGATGTGATCACCCCCGCACTCCCCCCGGGCTGCAACCCATAGAACAATGTTTCTTTGTTCACGAGTGAGGCGAATATCATGAGCTCGATGGGCATAGCAGCTGTCAGAATCGGATACACAAATACACACTTTGAGTGCGAGCTTGTTTCATCTGATCAAAGAACACGGGCAAAGACGAGGATGTGTGCCTGCTTTCTGTCACAGTGTTGAACTTGGATTGATCTGGTCCGGACTACACAAGGCTATGCGTCTCCTAGCGCTTAGCTGTAGTCGCTTATGTAGTATGTTACCATATTTGGGACTCTCTGCTTGTATACTATAGCTATGCTTCCGGACTCTTCTGGTACTGTCTAGGACAATTGTCACAGTTTTCTCATGCCACGTGACCTGGGGGTCATGTGCACCAAGGCAGATGCACACCTCAACCGTGGACAACTCGTATTGGAACCAGAGTAGCCAGATTCGAACCCCAGACCTTGAGAGGGCTGGGAGCACCCACCATCACTCACTGGCAGGTGACTGGTGTGTCAGCAGGGGCGCTTACTCATAAGCAGAAGTCCGGACTTGGCACGACTCAGGTATTGGTCGTAAGAAGGACATGAGGCAGGTCAGGGGACAGGACATGAGGCAGAGAACTCTGACCAAACGATGGTCAATAGATACTTGGTCTGTGCACCGATTGTATTAGTATAAATAGCAGGGGGTCTGAGGCAGGGAACCTCAGACTTGATCTTCTCGTCGATCCCCCATCTCCTCTGTAGGTAGCTAGCAGCCCTACCTTCTACTACCCCTTCTAGTCTAGGGAATTCACCTTTTTGCATCATCTATTGCTGTGTCACTTGTGGTTGCTTCGCTCTCAGCACCAACCCCTTCACTAGTAAGCTTTGTCTTTGTTTATCTGGTGGCACAGTTCGTTGGTTGTGACATGGGGCCCTTGCGCTTGATAGCGCTGAGCTTGTTCGCGCTTGCGCGTGGTTGGCCCTGGCGGCTTTGACGCTGCTCCCAATGGAGTACGACCTGCTGGCGGATCCCAGCAAGGGTGATCGCCCCAATCGCAGCTTGCCTGTCGCAGGCTTCAAGCTAGCAATGTAGAGCTGGATCATCGGATCCATGTTGCAAGGGAGCTTTGCCATGAGCATCATGCCCTTGATGTGGTCGGTAACGACAAACTTGTTCATCTCAAGACATTGGAAGTACACCTTGAACTTGCCCAGGTTGGGGACAGGGTTCGAGTCAACCGGAATGCTAAGAGCAAGGGCAGCCCAGAAGTCTTAGTAGACAGCTGGCATGCCAGGCTTGCTGTAGGTGGTCTCGAGGTAGCCTCAGATCCCCTTGGCAGTTATCTGAGACGACACAGCACTGTTGATGCTGGGGGCAAGGCGAAGGCTGATATTGCCTTAGACCTTGAGGTCGGCATCGAGCCACTGGCCTTGCACCTTAAGGTACAACTTCATGGGCTGCACCCACTTGAGGGAAGAGAGAGTCCTGGAGGGGCAGGGAGAAAAAGGCGGTAGGGACAGCACTGTAGAGAGCACCAGACATAGTGTCGAGAGGTATGGTTCTAGAAGGGAGACTTGTCAGCCACACACCTTCAAAAAACACAGTCTAGGCAGAGAGAGATCATGCCGACATAGGGTACCTCTCTGTGGCACTGTAGGCAGCAACAAAGCACACCACAACAATCCACAGCGCATGCATGGCAGGCAGCGTATGATTGCGCCAGATCCAAGCAGTGGTTGCACATCAATAACAATGGCAAAGATCTAGGTGAGGTGCGAGCTTACAGATTGCAGCATCGAGCAGGGCTCATAACCTGTGGAACCCGGGGGGGGGTGAAAGCCTCTCCCATGGGTGGCAACAACAGCGAATAGCCTGCAACCCACCTAGAAGGGTTGATTAATAGTAAGAGGCTTGTTAGAGCGATGAGAGGAGACATTCGAGTAAACTGAACTATAGATTGGGGGTGCAGGAGTCCCCTATATATACTACTGTACATCTGTGGCTGCGTAGTACTATACAGCATCTGGAAAAACAGCCTTTGCGAATTGACACTAATTATCACTATTCAGATAACCTCATCTATATTAGCAAGTGTTAGCAGAGATGACATCTACATTAGAGCTACTATTCAGACACACTTCTTCAGTAGTGCAACTAAGCACTAATTAGTATACTTGGTACTAGTTATAACTACTCTTCACTATCGCTTTTTCTATAGTGCTATGTAGTGCCAACATGATACTACTATAGCACTACTGCAAATTTGGTCCTCCAATTTTCGCTATTTTGCACTACTATAGTACTATTTTGCGCTATTTTAGCACTACTCATTTAGGGGACACTCAAATAAGATGACAATCCTTTATTTATAGCTCATAGTTCTCAACTCAAGCATTACACACCTTCATAGCTGCAAAATCACCATGATAGCTGACTTATATTTGAGGGCACAACTCAACATAGAACTTGTTATCATGTATAGGACTAGACTGTCAGCACAGCAGTCATACCATGAAGCATACTCTATAGCACACTCCATATTATATACATAGTCCCAGACATTACACATATGCAAGCCTCAGCAGGT